TTCGTTGCACGGATGAACCAGCTGAAGTCTCAGCTGGTAACGATTAGTGGATCTGGATCTCGCGAATGTCGCCGCCACAGTTGGACGACACTAGCGAGAGACAGAAAGATGGAAACAGTGTTGTGGCCTGCACAATAAGTGAAGACAGGCCACCTATGTATCTAAGTATCTAAGTATTACTGGCGTCCTGGGAAAAACCATTGCCTCTCACTAAAAAGATGCTAGACCCCTGCTCCTCCCATGCTCCACCTACTGTCTGCCCTCCAACTGGACTGCAATCAGTAAAAAGTCGTGCAATTTTATATTCAAGTACAAAAGGAAAGGAGATAAATTAACCTGAGTTTAGGATGTCTGAAAAGTCTTGTAAAAACTTTAAGGTTTTGTTTCTCAATCTTATAATAAATTAACCCCATATTTTGGCCTTACATAGTAGTTGCCGTGGAACTTAGTATGTCCTGACCACTCTTGAGCATTGTTTGCCTAAGCGAAGCATCAGTCAATAAAGTCATTGATACTATAATAGGTTAATTTTTAATGGATGCGCTCACTATAGCATCACGAGTTGATGAGTGTGTTTGAAAGTGCTCACAATTCAAAACAGCATTTGAAACCAGACCTACACTTATGACCAAAAATTGCTAATCTGATGCGATGGGGTATGATGTTAAGCTGTATTTTCTTTCTTATTGCTGTTGGATTCACATCCACATTTCGCCGCTGAGATTGTACAGCCAATTTACGATTATAAGTGCGTTAGATAACAATTAGTAGGCGGAGCTGGGGCCTAACGTTTGAGAGACGTTAGACGGTCGCAGAACTTCCATTTCTCGGAAAAAAGCGGTAAGGCTCTGGGAACTTTTCCTACACCAACATTAGCCAGCAATCCCACATCTTCCGAGGCCCAAATATGTGAGGTGTTTAAGCCTCCCGTAATACAAAAAGATTAGTTATAGGCAAGAGCAGTAACATCACTACAACCAACAAGATAATTATGAAAAATTGACCCGAAAACTCTTTGCCGCGTTTATCATTCCAAATCTGCCTCAGAATTGTTGGAATTAAATCATTTGTTTTAAATATAATGTGGTATCTACTTAAAAGTTCGAACCAACTTTATATCCATATCTTTGTAAATTACACATATTCTGACAGTATAATTTTTTTAGCTATTGCAAACCTATTAACATTTTGGCTAAGATCACACATTTGAT